CTCGACCGACTGGTTGTCTGGAGCGAGAGAGCATCTCCCTCACCCCCCGATTCCAGATCAATCCCCATTCCCCAGCCTACCTGAAGGCGGCGGCAGCAAGCGATTCCAGGTCCGGCTCCGGCGGCCGGCTCTCCCTCGGTCCCTTTCCTCCGGCCGGCCCTCTCGGCCTCCGGCACTCCCCTCCGCGCATCCGGCCCTCTCGGCTTCTCCTCCGGGCCCCCCTGCAGGCGCCCAGCGCCCTCCGACAAGGTACTCATCCTCTGCTTGCTTCTAAGATGAACCTGAACTACCTGCCATGTGATTCATTTCCTGCTTATGATCGCAAATGATTGCTAGACTGATTGTAAATCGATGGACATTGAACTGCTTCTCTTGATCATTTTCACTGATTGTAAATTGTCCAGTGTCAATCAGTAGTGGGTGGAAGTGGAGTGGAGACAGGGAGGCTCGTCACCGAGCAGTAATCGGGCGTTTGGAGGCAAAAAAAAGCTCAACCGGCCGGCCGAGGCGAAATCATCGAAACGCCCGCCAACCCCCCACCAACCGGCCGAGGCCATGGCGGCGGCGCAGAAGCCGGCCAAGCGGCTCGGCGGCATGGCGGAGGCGCTCGCCATCGCCGGGGACCTCGGCTTCCCGGCCCCTCCCGCGCAGGTTACCCCCACCACCCCTTGGCTGCGCCCTGTAGATTTACTTCTGTCACCCCAGATCCTTCTCCTGTCAATTTCGTCCCTTCCGCCGCCATTTCGCGAGATCGAATTCTTGTTCCTTTCAGGTAATGGTAGGGTTCCGTTCCTCGTTTATTGCCGCCGGGGATTTGTGAAATGTAGGTTTCGAACCGAGTCCCGCTCCCGAATTAGAAGCCTATCACTGCAATTTCTGCATGGTTTGGACGGCTGAGCGTGTAGGTTCAGGGGAGTCCCGTGCGCTTTGCTAGTCCTGAGAGGAACACCTATGGGGAATCATCTCCTCCTAAGTTTGGTGACTATAACCTGGAGGGTTCTTTATCTATTGATGAAATCTAGCAATCTTGGAGCTAGTTATAAGCTGTAACCCATCTAAAATTATTACTCTGTAAGATTGCTATGTCTCCCTCTGTTTTTGTTATGATGTCTAGCTTCGTGAAATTTACAGTGCTCTATGTCACTAATAGTGATGGTGATGAAATGATTGTTCTTTTTATTTCGCAGATTATGGTCATGTGTGCTTCTTAAGTCTTCACACTTCTTTGTTGTCACTTGCCATTGCAGGAAGATCAGAACACCTCGGACAAAAGTGATGACCTGGTGAGGGTATTAAGGGAGCTGACGGTCGTGCAGCGGAACATTGCCAATTTGCAAGTCGAGCTACAAGGCAGAAAGGTAATGGACTGACGACCAGTTGCTACTGTTTGTATGTTTACACCAATTCTGTGCCATGCCAATACTTATGCAGTTTTTGTTTGTTGATTACCTTTTCCGATCCCTTACTACGCGATATTACTTTGACTATAGATCAACGTTTTCGTATTTCATCAATTTGTTCTGCTGTAGTGAATATCCTTTTCATTCTGTTACTGACTTACTGTGGTGGCGAAACTATGAAATTCCCATGAGGTTATTCATATTCTTGGTAGAAATGAGAACATCATGGATAATTAGAGCATTTTGGAGATACATTTGCTTCTATCAATATGTCCACTTTGACTATTATGGTGAATATGTTTTTGCTATCAAAGCATATTAATAACATGGATAATTTTTTCTTCTTAAGTGAAAAGAATAATCTTATATTTGTGTATGAATCTGATAGGTGCTCACACTTGCTTTACCTAGGTTTTCATGCTTGAAAAATGAATTGCAATGTCCAAGCCTCTCTAAATGTGCAAGGTTAAAGCTTTTAACTGGTGATGTATAGAACTTAAAATTGTTTACGCCCTATTAAATGTGATCACAAGCAGAATAACAAGCGTCCAATTTATATTTCACTTGTAAACTTTGCTACATATCATCTCCAAATTCTGGTGTATTCAGTTTTCTGGGCTTTTGATTTGTGTCAGTTATCATCGTTGATCATATTGATGAACTTTTTTTTATTGCAGGATGATAAAAACATTGCTCATTTGACTCATGTTAGTGAAATGGAGAAGAAGTGTGAATCGTTGGCCAGAATTACTACTATTTTGAAAGATGTTATTCAAAACAAGGTACTGGAAGTCAGAAATCACTATTTCTTTTGCTTGCTTTCTTTCTTTCTTGGGACCACCTGTTGCTCAGGTTATTGTGTAAAGAAAGTTCTGCCTGTGCTGTTGGCTGCTCCATATACCATAATCAACTAATTACAAGATCTGGATATCAAAATAACAACTCTTTTCTATCAGGACCGCATTATTGCCCGTCTGCAGCAACCTTACTCGCTTGACTGCATTCCTGTTGAAGCTGAATACCAGGTTGGGTTCTTGATCATTTTGTTTTCAGATTTTTATAGATTCATGAACTTACACATGCGAACTGAAAATGGTGTATCAAGTAGCAACCTACATCCAGTTTTATGATTCTTGGCATTCTATGTATTGATGTGGAGGAGAATCTTAGGTGCACCTACTTAGGTGATTTCTTTACATAGGAATGTGTGGTTTCTTGAGCGAAGCGCATTTTTTTCCTACTTACTGTACTTGCTTCTCCTCAGAAACAATTCTCGGAGCTACTTCTGAAAGCGGCAAGTGATTATGGGGCATTGACAGCATCAGTTGGAGATTTCCAGTGGAGTCAAAACTTCAGAGAGTCGCCTGCTGTATGGGGTGTAAGTTGAAAATACTCCTTCTGGTAATTAAATTAATTAGGAGTCATAGTGAATTTATCCCGCGCAGAACATCTTCCACTGCAGATGCAAATATTATTTCTACCACTGTCAAATCTAGAGATGACAAATGATTTATCATGTCAGTATAGAATGATTTTGTGCATTCTGATCACATTTTCTTATGGCAGCTCTTTCTTGTCTACGATTATACCAAGTCAGATAAGGAAATATTAATGGCTATCTTTTATCTCTGTGAAGGAAATGCTACGACCGATACCTGCTGCGCTTGCATCCTGCACCCGGTTCTTCGAGGCCATGTCTGCGATGAGGGAATCCTTTTCTACTCTTCAAACACTACGCGTTGGTCATTCTTCTCTGTCAATGACCCCAGGTGGCTCCAGTGATGATTTGAAGTTCTTGACGCCACCTCAGAGGAGAGAGGGCTCGATGCTCAATACCTGGAAGCAAGTGGACGACGTAAACCCTGAAAGTGATGGACTCGACAATATCAACCAGAGGAGGCTGTCATGGCCATCCTCCATTAACAGGGACCTGTAGATCACAGCTCCCAAGCTAATACTCAGCTGTTTGCATACTGTATAAATAGGATCGCCGAGGCTTGTCTTCAATTTTATTGTGTTTGGGTTCTTCTGGTCGCTGGCAAGAGCCATTATGAAATATCAGACCTAAGTAAATTACCAGTAGGCTTTCCACATAGATTGCACTTCATCTTGCTCATATGTTTTGGATCCATGAGGGTGAAAATACACGAATAAAACAAGATAACCATTATCCAGAAGTGAAGTTTAACCAAAAGCAACATCATGCTCATATCTTCAACACAAAAATCATTACATGTCGCTAGTACCTACCACTCCTCCCTCCCAAGTGTGCGACGCTCCATTACATCCTACTCCCTCCGTTCCAAAATAGATGACTCAACTTTATACTAACTTTAATACAAAGTTAGGTCATCTATTTTGGAACAGAGGGAGTAGATGCCAAGATCTCCGTCCACATCATCTCATATATCTCATCTGGGTCCATCTTGTCCATATCATCTCATATATCTCATCTGGGTCCATCTTTAATCAGTTGATTCTCCTCGGTGCCATCTCTTGCCTCAACTGGTTCTCATCGAGAAGAAACATACGCTGACCCGTGTCGGTCCTTGTGCTTCTCATTCTCTTTCATCTCTTGCCATGTCGCCATCTTCTCCTTTTGCTTTTTCTCCGTCAACTCTAACTTTGCATGCACATAGCTTGAGTTGACACCTCCTTTGCATTGGATCAACTCATCAATCTTGTCTTTCATTGTCGCGATCTCTCCATCTCTCTTGAGCTTCTTCTTCACCATCTTCATCCCATCGGGCCACCCATTGATAGACTCCAAAGTAGGACCCCTTGTTTCCTTTTATGTTCATCAAAATCTTCATCCCATCTTCAAGCTGTAGAGAGGATTAGGTACTTGACCTCGGTCTCTTTGGTGGAGCCTCATCATTCCTCTTCCTCTACTTCTCATAGTTTTGGAGAAATGCCCAACAATGGTGCAAGGCAAATGGCTTACTTTTTGACTAATATTTTTGCTTGTATCTCTCTTGAATGAACTTGTCCTACAACATACAACTAGAAGGTGGTTTCGTGAGCAAAGATAATTGAAATGTATTCTAAACATGCAGTGAAAAAGATGACAAAATCAGTCACATATTCATCAATTGTGTTACCACTAGGAAGTGTGTTCACTTGCTCCGAACAATCCACCCACCGATTGCAACACTCAAGGATCACACTCCGACAGTTTGTGAGTGACTTAAGTCATCGACCGGATGCATGGTGTCTTCACATTTTGATGGTAGTGTAGTGTTCATAGATGCACTTATAATACTTTGCACCAAATTGACCATCCCCGGTGACCGCATCAAGTATGACACTCTCCCCTGCCAAAACCAAAACCACACGAAAACTACCACTATAACCACACGCATTCACAGAAAAACAAAAACAAAGGTAAATAATAAAATAAGATCCTAGGGGGGAAATAAAAAAGTTGGAGAAGAGTCATGGCTTTTGTGTGCTCACATTACATTTTACAAAAGATGATATTTTATTGGCAGCAAAAATGGTCTAGAAACGAACATTCATGAATAGTAATGTTGTTACGGAAAGCGACACAATCGCCACAACTAAATGTCGCATCGGGACCGGAGGAAGTAGAGACACGAGACACTAGCTCGTCCGCCCTCAAAGCGGAATTACATTGTCTTTACATGGTATCCACTACCATCAATCTAGACAGAGAGGACGTCACCGTCGTCATGTTTAAGTTATTCTCACCAATGGCGGAGCTTCATGGAGATTGTTGATGCGGCTAAGAAGACAATTCATGTTTAAGTGCTCTTTAAAACTAGCTTAGGTTTTTTTGGGTGTGTGTGTG